TAAGAGTGCGTTACTATCAAGGTAAGCGTCTCGTGTCTCGGACCTTAATGCTAGAGGTAAGAAGTTCGATCCACATTATATTCACAAAAGTACGTTAGGTCTTTACTGATTTCTCTCAAAGCACATTTGTGATTCTTCATTGAAAATTCCACTGACGAAGACACTAAAATGTACTTACATCATCCGCAATAGGTAGGCCACAAGCAACAAATGTTTTCTGTTATCTTCTATCTATGAATACTCAATGGAGACATTAGGTACATCTACATTACACTCGCTGTGCTCTCTAGATATTAACAATTTATTAAACCACTAAATATTGAGTAGTTTTGTTTGTCCTATGGAATGGTAAAAGATGTAGCATGATAAATTATTATGATATATCTTAAAACTGTTTTGACGTAGTCGAATTTTGTTACATTATCCGAATGTATGTTTGCCCTTTCAAAGTAGATTGTATAGATAACACTTTTAGATGTATATAATGTCCAAAATCGGTATTTCGTCTTTAAGTCATAGAGTAAATTTAGGCATCTTCCAAAACAGTTGTGTTAGATGAAAGTGTCTATGTTTTTTAAATAAACTACCATGGTGTTTCATGAGTATTAATTCGGGATGTATTTACTTTTAATAACTAGAAATGAGAAAAAATATAAATATATTTTATATCTCATAGTTTTACTCAAATGAAAATATGCGAAATATTCAGACTGAATCTCTTTTTGCAAAGGAGTGGAAAGAAATATTCCAAATTAATAGCTGATATTTCCGAAAGAGTGTAAAGAAACAGGGTGAGAGGCAAATAAACACTAGTACCTAATTCATACAACAATTACCTTAAAAAGAAATTCCTTAAGAGAATAGCATTCTTAAACTTCTAAATAATAGGTATCTGGAAGCACTAACAAATAAAAAATATCGTATACATGAAAACATATCTGATAACAATTGGATACCAAGGTTTCTTATATTCTCATGGTAAAATTCTCGACATGGGTACAACAGTTTTGTTATGTCAAATAATATAATTAATTGTATTCTACAAATAATCAAATGAAACTATGAGGTTTTTTCTGACACGTTTTTTAGGGCCTTACATGGTATAAACAGAAGACGGATTAAAGGAGTGGTTTTTAAAACAGAATGGGAAAGGACAGAAGCTCCAACTACTGTGCAAAACAAATAAAATGACTTCCACTTCAGTGAGGGACCACACCACCCAATGTGGTCGAGCTTTACAACTCTTGTATGTACAGTCTTCTTAAGGAAAGTTTTATTTTGAAGAAAATACTTCAAATAGTATCGTCTGTGTCATCGATTTAAATGCTATATCCTTAGCAATATAGAAGTGGCCCTGAAATATGGTGAAATATGGCCCTGGTTACCTGGTTTTTAGTGCCACTCCGAAGGGTTTAGTAGTATACAGATTTATTTTAGAATGCAAACTGTTTCTGTTGCGAATTTAAAACTGTAAATTAAGTATTTCTGGCTCAAATTTTATATTTAAATATAGTTTTTAAAAGAAGAAAAGTATTAAGATGCTGTATCAGATCAGGTAAGGTTAATTAGGAAAACATGAAATAATGAAATGAAATAATGAAATAATGATTGAAATAATGATTTATTCCACCATAATAACATAAAATACAAATTAAATAAAAACTCGGAATTACGTTGCCACAGCATCCAGTTAATGTGACAACGTTCAATAAAAATTTAAAAAAATATAAAGTACATTCTATAAATTTTCAGTCCAGTCCACACATGAAAAACACCTTGCCGCTCTCTGTGGCGTCTTGATGACAGTTGTTAAATTAAACAAAATAACAAATTTATAACAATAATAGATATTCACAATAAAAATATATTAAAAAAGGAATGAAAAATGAATCCTATAAACAGTATAAAATAATGTAAATCAACAATTTAAAACAATATGCAGATTCAATAATAACAATACTAAACGTTAAATTTGCAAAGATTTAGATAACAAACTCTTTATGTTACAACACTATTTAAAAAATCTATATTTGGCTTCTCAAATAACCACTTTTTTATTTGAATGGAAAATAACTTTAAATTTGAACTGCTTTTGATATCTTGAGGTAATTGGTTGAAATATTTTGGCCCACTGTACTGATAAGATTGTCTAAATACTGATTTGTTTACTTTGGGTAATCTAAATAATCTTTGACTGTTGCTTCTTGTGTTATATGAAAGATTGTTTGTTCCACTATTCCCACTTCGAATATAAAAAAGTCTTAATACTTTAAAAACGAACATGTGTTAATTGGAAGTATTTTTAAAAGGTCAAATAATGGAAAGGAGCTATCTCTCTTACGACTATTTGTAATAAGCCTAATAAAATGATTCTGTGTGATTCTTAGTTTATCAATAAGAAATTTATATGTACCTCCCCAGCAGTGTATAGCGTATTGTAGTCTTGAATGGATGAGAGAAAAATATAGTGTTCTCAATAAAAATGGATTACAAAAATTCCTTAAAAAATAGAAAGTTTTTATGACAGACCTGGTCTTTGTGTGTAAGGCAATAACATGTTTTTCCCAATTTAAATTTTCATCTAAGATTACCCCAAGATACCGAAAGTTATTAGTTTTCTCTATAGCTTTACAACTGCATATATTATTCACATTACAATCACAAGTGTGATATTTTAAGTCAAGTTGAAAATCAAAAGTATTTATTAAACTAAAGTTAATATACTTTGTCTTATCCACATTTACTTGCATTTTATTTGCAGTACACCAAGAATTTAACAATTTCAGATCATAATCTATATAATCATACAGTACATTGGGGTTTTTGTTGGCGTAAAACAATGCAACATCATCAGCAAAAGCACTAATCTGTCCATGGAAGGGAAGTTTAAGGAGGTCATTGATAAAAATTAGGAATAGGGTTGCTGAGATTACTGAACCTTGTGGTACACCTGCTTTAACACTTTGGGGTGAGCTCATTTCATTTAAGATTTTTGTTTGCTGTGTTCTGCCTGTTAAAAAGCTATTAAACCACTCAAGTGCAACTCCTCTTACACCCGCTGCATTTAGTTTTAAAAGCAAAATATCATGGTTAACAAGGTCAAATGCTTTTTTGAAATCAATAAATAAACCGGTGGTTTTTAAGTTATTATTTAAACTATTGTAAATGTTGTTTGATACTGTAATCAATGCTTCTTCAGTAGATTTGTCCTTCCTGAAGCCAAATTGACAATTACTAAAAAAATTTAGGTTTTGGTAAGTCGAATTTTCATGATTTTCTCGATGATTTTGGAAAAAACTGAGAGCAAACTAATTGGTCTTAGATTATCAATTTTTGTAGATGAACTTTTCTTGTGAATCGGAACAATTACACTGGATTTTAATATTTCAGGAAATATACCGCTTGAGAAGCTTAAGTTAATTATATGAACAAGGACAGGTGCTATAAATTCACAGATTCTCTTGACTAAATCAACGGTAAAATGATCAAAGCCAGTAGACTTTTTGTTTTTTAAGCTATTAACAATACTTAAAACCTCATTGTAAGTGGTTGGAGTAATGTAAAAGGAATGTGGTTGGAAGTGCAATGGTTGGGGCGGGGGAGGGAGTGGACACCCATGACCTTGACCAAGGTCATGCACTGAGATTAGGTAACTATTTATCTCTTCAGCCACATGTTTTGGGTCGCTTATAACAGTGCCGTTATCTAACTCAATCTTTGTGACACTCTTACAATCCTTCCAGCCTATTGTATTATTGATTACCTTCCAGTATTGAGCAGAATCACCATTACAGTTATTAATTTTATTTGTTAGGTAATCATTTTTTGTTGTATCTATATCTGTTCGTAATTTTTCACAGAAACTGTTGAAATAATTATTGAAAGTTAAGTCATAAGGTCTTTTTTTATGTATAGCATACAATTTTTTACGCTTATCTAATCTTTTAATCAAGTTTGAATTTATCCAGGGACTGAAAGATTTTGACTTATGTAGTCTGTTTTGTTTACGGCTTAGCATAGAATTACTTACAATAGACGCTAGTTTTTCATGAAATATGTTGTAACTATAATTTACATTATTTGTAATGAAACATTCTTCCCAGTTTTCACTTTCTAATTTTCTTTTCACTAAATCATAGTTCACAGTGTTTTGAAAATAGAATGAACTATCATGCTCTTTTGATATAATGCTCTTATTTGAATGGTACATCTTTAAACCTAATAAACAGTGATCAGTTAATCCTATATCAAATATTACACTATTGAATATATTTAAATTGGCATGTCTGATAAAAATATGATCAACAAGCGTTTTAGAAGTGTTGGTAATTCTAGTTGGATTATGTACAACAGATATAAAACCATGATTATTTAACAAGCTAAGGTAGTTCTGTACATTATTTTGACTAGAATTTAACAAATTAATATTCACATCTCCTATAAAAATAGTATTATTTTTCAAATCAATTAATTTATCGGATAATTCATTTATAAAAGTAATTTCAGAGTACATTAACAATCTATAAAATACTAAAAACATTAAAAAATGTGTTTTTTATTTTTACCTTCAGAACCATAACATCAGCTGTAATCATTTCAATATTAATTTGTGAAACATTGGCCTCTTCATTTACATAACAAATTACACCTCCAGCTCTGTAAGTGTCATTGCAACGAGCAAAACTATTAAATCCAGGTATTTTATATAGATTAACCTCATCATCTTTGATCCAAATTTCGCTAAGAACAATACAATGAATTTTGCTTTTAATACTGTTTAATTCTACTAGAAAGTTGTTAAAGTTTCTTCTTAAAGATCTTATATTTGCATATATAAAATTAAAAGTAATGTTAATTTCAGTGTCATAAAAGACGGATAGGTTTGTTTCGTAATTAATTGAATTTGTATCTACCATGTTTTAGTTTTCAAATCAAGTTAATAAAATTTAAATCATTCAAAATCTTAATAAAACCAGAAATCAGGTACAGCTGAAGAACAGTTATTTGATCTTTCCTATCTCCTCGTAGGTACTCACTTTGATCGCCTTCTCACCTTCAGATTTCCGCACAAAGAATTTCCCACCTCGACACCATACGAAAGAGTAACCGACTTCAGCGCACTTCTGCTTCAACTTGGATAGGAAGATCTTGTTTTCTGGAGATAGGTGATCATTCACGAATACTCTGTCCCGGGGAAAGGTGTTGTTCACTTTATCAGCCGTGAGGTGTTCATTCCTTGCCCTAGCCTCCTTAAACTTGTTGATAAATGCTTCCTTCATTGTCCTCTCCGTAAACTGTACCACCAGGGATGGCACTCGGGTTTTATTGTACGAAGGGATTCTGTGGGCTGCTGCGATGCTGCTTGTCTCCACCTCCAGACCCAATGCTGACCCAATGTCCTTCACTACAGATTTGACGTTTTCATTAGCAGTTTTTGGAATCCCACTAATTTCCACATTGTTTGTTCTGCTGTACTGTTCCAAATCTCGTATCCTATCATTTAATTTTCCAAGTTGTGAGGTTAATGTATTGTTTTTGGCACGCAGATCTTCATTTTCCTTCCGAATAGACATCGTGACACATAGACACATCGTGCCGGAGCAGTATAAACTAAATTGAACAATCAAAAAGTCAGGGTGCAGATTAAATATATGTTTATACTTTGTGTGACCATGCCAAATGTTCGTAATATTTTGGGCCAACTTGTTTAGGAGCGGTAGGAAAGTCAATAAACACTAAACAGAATAGCATTTATAGTATTTGTACAAATTAAAATGAGTCAGTGAAAATGAAGAGGTTATACTAATTAATTCTTTATCAATATTTTTACCTTTTGGAACCTTTTACCCATGATATATTAGGAAAATAAATTATTCTTATACATATATGTAGGCCTATAATATATGTACTGTAATATATTTTTTAGTAAATCCCTATCATAAATCAGTATGATAACTCGTTTAATATTTCGTTCAATTTGATTAGTGAGTAAACTGTTTCAATACGTACTGTATATCTGTCGCGAGGAAGAACGATCATTGGGAATTTCATTTGGCAATAGCCTAAAACGTTAACTTTATTGCACATCAAAAACCAATTTTTCTCTCGTGAAAAATGATTCATTGGTTGTATAAAATGGTAAGTATAAAATGGCTGATACAGTGGTACAGTATAATTACAATTAATTTGATTTTATGGCTGTTAATAAACCCTAGTATGGATTTTTGTTTTGAAAAAAATTATCTTTTCAAAGCATGTAATTATGTTGATTGACACGTAAATAAGTGTTATTCCTTTTACGTAGGTATTCTTATTCTCTACTATGTAATTGAGGACTGCTTGTATACCAATATCCGTGGAACAACTAAATTCCACAAAACGGTAAAATTATTTTACTGTATCATTATCATTATTTCATAAGTAATTAGTACACTTTGATAATGGTTCAAACTCATAACAATTAAAGCGTTCATATTTTTTGCATGAAATTGACGGATACGTACAAACTTTCAGAATTAATTCAAATATATTGGTGACGCCTGCAACAAAGGCTATGCAGCGCTCAATACGAGTTTGTTCTGAGAAAAGTTTTTATTGTCTGCAGGCTCGTTTAATATTAGAGCGTATACACAGTAAAGTATTACAGTATTGGAAATCGTCGATGTATAACTACTACTTTTTTTATAACTAATGGATTTTATTATATTTTCTTGTATACTTATAGTAACAGTAATGTATATTTTGTTTAGGTCCATAGAGAATAATTAACTTGATTTATAAAAATCACCCACTTTTTACCAAACAAAATTTTAGTTCAAAAATGCATTTTATCATAATTTGATTTAGATCTAGTTTTTAATGTTCATTTTTATATATAGAAGACAATAAGCAATAAAAGAAATTATAAAACCAATCTTAGTTGTAGTTGAACATTTAATTAATAGGTAATTATAGTTTTAAAAATCATTTAGCCTATGCGTAACCTATTGAATTATGTTTCTAATTTAATAAAACTTCAAAATATTTTCATATTCTTTTATTTAACAACTATTTTTATTGGCTAATTTTGCCAATACAACAGTTTTTTTTTTATTTTTATGTCGTAGGTATATCAAATAAAACAATTATGGTTCAACTATAGAAAAATAAACCCTAAATAGTAGATTGTTCAACAATTAAAATCAAATTAGTAGGGCTACCTACATGTCTAAAAACTCAAAACACATAAAGAGGATCAAATAGTTGCTTTTTAGGAAGTCTTAAATGATTTTAAACAAATAAATTTTAACTTCGAGTAGTAAAAAGTTTGTGTCAGGTGTGGGGTTCGAACCCACGCTCCCAACCGGGAACCAGAGCTTAAATCTGGCGCCTTAGACCACTCGGCCAACCTGACTTGTGAGCACCTGGGGCAAAAATGTATTTAATGAAACTTTGCAATATATCCAAATTGTACAAGTAAAGGATTGTTTATTACTACCACACACTCACTGTACCTAGGCTATTAGTTCAATTCAATTCTTAATCATTTCCCGTCAATCCCGTCTGCTTATTTCTTTTATTTTTATCTTTCATTGTTTGCCAACCGAGGATAATTGATAAAGCACATCAATGTTACTGTTTGACCTTTTCATATTTATTCATGAACTAACTAAGCCACATGAAACTATCTATCTATCTAATATGCTACACGAAACGATGGAACTTTGAAAACAATAAGCCTTTTTTGTTTCAAGATTTAACCCCACAAATTTTTATGTTCCAAAAAAGTTCATCTAGGTGTGTAGATTTGCAATCAATGACTTTACATTTTTGAAAAGGTCCCTTGGGCTCTGCCTCAGTGGCTTATAGGTACAGAAGTTATTTTAAAACTACAGTAATAACAGTAATAATTTTCGATGAGTTTAAAAGACCCGACTAAATGCTTATGTGACTAATTGCAATACTCACGCTATTAAATAGCTCTTTGAAATAATAAACGCTTCTTGTATTTTAGCATTTTTTGGACCCGGCCTTATTTTTTAGTGTTTTAATGTTTCCCGACTTAAAGCTTTTAACCAGTAAACATTTCTTGCATGTATTTATTTGATCGGACTTTAGGTAGGTTTACTTTATCACTGTGACAACATCTGTTGTATATTCTTCATGTTTTTAAGTTGCTTAGCATAACTGACAAAAATGATTCATCTCCCCAAGTGAGTGTGTACCTGGATTCCTTACTTCGAGACCAGGCCTCTCCTCTGGTGTCCTCCTGATTGCGAACAGTCCTGATTGCGAACAGTCCAGACTGCGAACATGTTTGGGTCTACGAGGTGGAGGGGGTCGTCCGTGGGGTGGGGAGGATTCCTGATTGCGAACACATTTTGAGTGGTTGGGGTTTTCAACCCTTTCGTAGAAACCCTTAACAGAATGATTTAGCCCAAATCACAACTTAAGACTGGTAATATGCATAATGGAAAGGATGAATGTTCTTGAAGACACATATCTTTATGAGACGTAGTATAATTATAGGTAAAGCCCCTTATTAACAGACAGATTCTTCCAGACTCACAAATTCGTTCTGATAATAGGTATTTAAAGTGGCGGTTTATTTAAAATTAATTATAATATGTTTGACTTGAACAAGCAACTACTAAACAATCTCAGAGTAAAAGAAGTAAAACAATCATTTCATATGAACTTGCTCGAAATCGAGCAACTGTCAAGTGCCGGTATTATAGGTACAGAAGTTATTTTAAAACTACAGTAATAACAGTAATAATTTTCGATGAGTTTAAAAGACCCGACTAAATGCTTATGTGACTAATTGCAATACTCACGCTATTAAATAGCTCTTTGAAATAATAAACGCTTCTTGTATTTTAGCATTTTTTGGACCCGGCCTTATTTTTTAGTGTTTTAATGTTTCCCGACTTAAAGCTTTTAACCAGTAAACATTTCTTGCATGTATTTATTTGATCGGACTTTAGGTAGGTTTACTTTATCACTGTGTCAACATCTGTTGTATATTCTTCATGTTTTTAAGTTGCTTAGCATAACTGACAAAAATGATTCATCTCCCCAAGTGAGTGTGTACCTGGATTCCTTACTTCGAGACCAGGCCTCTCCTCTACTCTTCTTATTCGTATAAGATTTCCTATTAATTGTCTCCTCCTCCTGTTTTTAACATTCCTCCTTTAAACTCAAGAAATTGTCTGTTCTTCCAACAAAACTGATTGACTGTTTAGATTTGTCTATTACCTCATAAATATTACAAACATCAATATTTACTGTACTTCCAAAAAGCTGGTGAGTTTCTTTTTATATACAGTTGTTTTTGTTTTTAAATTTGTTTTCAATGTAATTCTTATGGGGAAGATGCGACCTTTGATAGCGTCTCGTGCCCTTAAGGGTAAGAGTTTTTTAAGTTCTAAAACCTTAATGCAATACTACAAAATTGAGACGAATTATTTGACACCTCAAACGTTAAAATCGGTCCAGAAATAACGGAGGAGTTTTGTTCACAAAAATAGCCTCACATATTAATATAAGAGAAACTGATTATAGTTTAAAATTAGCCGAAATATCATGCATTTGCCAATATCACATTCCAAACTCAATCATTACCTAAAAAAAATGTGAATCATTACCTGAATATTGTGCAGTAAGCATGTGCCTGCGCGAAGGAAAATACAGCCTTGGTAAACCACAGCTTTGATAATTGATAAACTGTCAGAGCATTTTTTATTAATTTGTTTCCCAATAACTTATTTAGTCCGTTAATTAAATATATCTTCAGGTTTCAGAAGACTCCATTAGGGACGCACAGTTCACTCATATTAGTCCTACAATCCAGGAGGAATACCTGAAGCAGTAATGAGGATAACAAATTACTCCCATATGATAAGCTAGCTCAGGTGCTTGTTAACTAACCCCTATGCTTGGGGTCAATTATGAATATTTATTGCTTGTCAAATTAATTATTTCTTAGCTTAGAGTTAGAAGATTTACCTACCACTACCATCACATAGGTTTCCCATGCTCCCATAGGTATACTTGTTTTCTTAAAATTATTTTTATTAAATTTTTCCTATGGTGGATAACATTATTTGAGGCGGGTAGAAATTAACTCTTAACAAATATTTTTAATGACTAGGTACAATGAAAGAGTGATTTTACTTTAAATTTAATTGAATACTTTTAGAAATCACATAAATTGCATACTTATCTTATTTTACCCACAATCGATGTGCATCAGCCAGTGGTGCAATCACTCAAGCTCAATGCTGATTCCTGAAGAGTGAAGAGATAATATTTCCTATATTGCTTTTGGAATAAATTATTGGAATTTATAGAAAGAATAAATTGAGTTTTTCATCTCAATAACAATTAATAATTTGCCAAGCCAACAAAGTAGACTTAAATATTTTGTTTTTATTTTTGCCGCATCCTTTTACAGAAACTGTATGATATGTAACAAAGTGGTCAAATAAGTTTTGTTTAGAATAATGTGGGAATACAGGATTCCTTGATAATTGTATTTATTTATTGATCACAATATGAACATGAAACAGACTTTCTAGATAGGTAGCAGTAA